CAGACTCACTTCTCTGTTGGGGCAATGACCAAATACGCCAACTTTTGATGGAAAAATTATAGATCCTTAATCCCTAGTTGAAGAATACTACTTAGCACAACGTTGAAAAATGTCAACAACCATTAAACTTTTACCCTTGCTGGAGATAAGCATTTCACGAACGGACCTTGTCTATTAGAGATGATTTTGCCGCTGCTTGGGGAAGCATCAAACTCTTTAGGTCTTGCTAGGAAGGATATTTGTTGAAATTCTGCTAGGGGAGAAACCAAAGTCTTCACTGAAAAGCTTTAACTCTACTAGGGGTGCCATACGTTGGCTATCAACATGAATCCTGCGATATTCTGCTACAATACTCTGAACCTCGGAGATTTGGACTCTGACTAACAGTCTTCTAGAGAGAATAACTCTTCGTGCTCCTGAAATGATCTGTTTCAAAATGAGCCTTCGAAGTAACTTTGCCCCTGTCTAATTACCACTTTAAATGCTTCAAGATATTGTCGCACTGGTCTTCACCCCAACAACGGAATAACAGACTCAAAAACCAGATGTAAAAGTTGTGATCCTAATTGTTTCACTAGTCGCAACACCACACCAGATTCAAATTATTAACTGATCGATCAAGAATCTCTTCAACTTCTATCATTCCAACAATAAAATTGTTTCATACATCACAACTAGGATCTGTCACACAAACTCTAACAACTTCAGGTAACACATGGAATGCATGATGCTAAGAATGGTAGATTTTTTGTATGTAGTGTCTATCATTATTGCATAGGTGAGGCTATTGATACAACGGATCTACGGGTAGGTGGAAAATTATCGATTATTTGAAGTGTAAAGATTCCTCCAAGTGTCAACAAATTTCTCTTGCAATTGTATAAATTATGTGCCTGCAAGAAGATGCCTCATAGGGAAAGGCATTTATGTCTAACTAATTGTGGTATCTTTGTTTTAAGGATTGAATACGAAAAACACTTATTCTTGGTATTCCTTAAGAGTGTCGAGTGTTGGGAGAAAGTGGCACTTTGGCCATGGTTATTGTTACAACCCCTTTTGCAACAATACTTTTTTTTCTCTTTTGTAGAGGTTTTACATCAAGACCAATTGACTTTGTTTTCAACCATTTTGTGGAGTATTTGCAAGCATAGGAACGACTACATAAGGAACACACATAAATATCAACGTATATTATTTGTGATTGTGCATATTACATCTTGTTGGAATGGAAAAACTCATAACAACTTCAGTCAACTCATACGACTGAAGCTCACGACCCTGATATGTGTGTAATTTACCTATTTGACACTATCATTTTCACATACTCATTAGCTTACTTAGACATGAAAAAAAAAACTAAAAACCCTAATTTATGCTTTATTGAATTTTTTTTCTAATATATATATGCAAGACCAAACAAAGGAAATGGAAAATTAAAGAAAAGAGGAATCAGTTGCCAAACCAAACAAGATCATCTGACCCAAGACTCAGTAGCCAAAGTCAGACCAAATTCTCTAGGCAAATTTTGACTAAACCAACGAATTTAAGACGAACTTTTGACTAGACATAAAAGTTGCAACTTCTAACCCTAACACTCTCAACCACCATTATTTCTACTATTCTATTTTCTTTTGTTTTTAAGAGAATTTTTTTTGGTTACAAAAACTAAAACCCTTTTCGTATTTAGAATCGTAATCATTGCAAATACGTTATATTTCTCCTTTCTTATGGGTTCATTAATTTTACTCACTGCATTATCATTTTTATTGGCACAACATCGCTACAATGTTTTCAATTTAAATATCGCAAAAGGAAACCAAGAAGCCCTATGCCCACCACTTGGACGAAACCCTATGTAAGACATTCTAAATTACTCAGATTCAAACGAGTAGCATATAGTGTGAACAATAGCAACTGAATTACTCAGATTTCAGTACTATTAGTACTGAGTGCATATGTTTGTTAGAACTTCACTTTATGAACTCACATGTTAAGTTTGTTAAAGAACAAACTAGTAGCATATAGTGTGAACGATTAGCAACTGAACTACTCAAATTTCAGTATTATTATCACTGAGTTCATACAATTGTTAGAACTAGAGGTGGCAAAGCGGGTGACCCACAACGTTTAAGCCCGTCTAAAAGTTGGGCGAGGCGAGACAAAACAACTTAGGTTTTCGAGCTCAAAAGTCAAGCCCTCTTCGTTTACTAACGAGTTGACGGGTTGACGGGTCGGCCAACCATTTTTTTTATAGTTTGATTTACTACATAATTTACAAATTTTTTAATTATTACCGAAGAGGCTGGAAAAAGATATTTTTAACATTGCATAGTAGAACTTTAGCATGTCTCAAATCCAAACAATTCAAAAGAGAAAATAAATAAAGACCGATTATAAAAACAACATAACAAAACAGACTCAAGCATAAGAAAAAACACACGAAAATAAACAAATAAAAAAAACAACACATGTCATCCTAATCCTATTTAAAAATCCACTACAAAAATAACCCCTATTAAAAACTTACACAAGACAAACAATGATAACAATTTAAATGCATAAAACATCACAATGCATAAAATAACATTGCATAAAATATCAACACCTAACTCTCTCACTACATACATCATATAGACTCTTATATTGACCGATTCTTTAATAGTTAAATTCTAAATTTGTCACACATACACACTAATAAAATCTTTTATTTTCTTAAAATTGAACATCTATTTCTAAAGAAAACATGAGCTAATGTATTCACGGCTTAATAATTCTCCATGTCATACAACTGTAATTTTATTTCAAATTTTTCTAACCAACGCATATATTAGAAAGTTATTGAAAAAACTTTATGATTATCATTCAATTTATCTCTACAATAATTTAGAATATTATTCAATCCCTATAATTAGAAGAGAAAAGTGTTTTTTTAAGTTAATGTAGTTTTAATTCTAAATAAAAAAACTAAAAGTTTTAACAAAGAGTTGGTGGGTAGAATCTGCTAAAATTTTTTTTATGCGGGTTAGACAGAATGGATTAATTTAAGATACTTTGCAAAAACCTCACCCCTGCTTGTTAAAAGTTGTGTCTCTTCTTTATACGAACACGAGATGTCTCCACTTTTTCTAATTTTCAAAACTGTTTCTATATACGAACGTGAATTCAACATTTTATTATTAATGATATACTAAGAGAATATGCAATGAGGTGCGTATTATGGCAATAATTAATTTTGAGTCTTGAATTGAAATTCCTACATATATCTGTGCTGACAAGTGGAGCCATGGGCAAAGCTTCTTCCTTATCCTAACACAAGTTTGCTGTTTTGTTGTCATGATCTACAAGCATAATTCATCAGAGACATAGTGGATTCACATTCAAAAGGCTTTAACATTTACACATATCTCAGAGATATGCTCCACCATCTTTAACATTTAGAATCTTGCAATGTGCTCTCTTTCTCTCACTGCTCATTACACTTTTTCCTCTTTTAATCTCCAAAAGCAACACATTTCACAAACACATTCTTTCACTTCCAATCTCCACAACCCTTTTGTCATTTCGCTGTCACATTCAAACAATAAGCAAAAGCAGCAACGCAACTGAAACTAAATTCTTTCAGTATTATACCCGCATCCAACCTGAGGTGAGGTAGAATCCAAACCAGAATTCCACTTCCCAACAACCCTTCCATCATTTTCTAGCCCAAATTGTTTCTTTAGAATCAGTGTAAACTCAGTAGTAAAAAGATAAATCAAAGTACTAAAATGCAGAAGGCTATGATTTGAAAGAGAAAACGAATATGCCATTTTTTGTAGCTTGGAAACTCACAGAAGCTTTGCTTTTACAGTTAACACAGATTCCTTTCCTTCGCTATCATAAGTGTCATTACAACTTGCACACCACGTTGTTTAATTATATTACAAGTACACATATTCTTAATCTCTTTCATTCATTAGCCTTACATGCAAGATAAACTTGAATTCAAAAATTCCAAACATCACATAAACCCTAGACACTTATAATAATTATCAACACTAATTCTTATAGGAATAAATATGTTTTAGGATCTTATTAACATCTTAATGACACATATTTTAAAACTTAGTTATTTAAACTTTTAAGAAAGACTTTAAGGACAGTCTTATCATTTCTCTATTCTTTAAATTATGAATACAATGTTACAAGTTTTAAATAAAATAACAAAACCTAAATAAATGAAATTGCAAAAAAGTAACAAAATCATATTGAAGTATAATAGGTGTCCTTCAATAATATCGAAGAGATTAATTTGCAATTTTTAAAAATTTAAAGGGATCAATTTATAAGTTTTGAAAATTGTTAGAGATTTATTTATATATGTTTTTTAAATTTAGGATTGAATTTGGAATTTTCATAAAATATGAGGATAATTTTGCAAATTTTGAAAATTTAATAATAAATAATTTAACATTCGTGTCGTATAGAACAAAGAAGTCATTTTAAATTTTTTTCATTTAAATTTTTTTAAATTAACTTGAATAAAATAATTTATAAATTTATATCATTTTAATAATTTTCCATATTTTTTTATTCAAACAATTAAATCATTTTAAATTCTCTAAAAAAAAATTTACCTTAAAATACTTCATGCACTAGTTAAAATACTTCATTCAAACATACAAATATTATTTTACAAAATATTTTTTTTTTCATTCAAACAGACACTATTAGGATATATCATATATTTTAATGCTTGAAATCTAAATATAAGCTAGTACTGTAATTTTTAACATGTATTTAATAGAGAATTCACGTACTAATTTGTGTAAGAAACATGATATTTGAAAATCACATGACATTGATCATAACCCTATTCTTTCCAAGGCCCTAGAAACAAAAAGCAAGAAAACCAAACAAATCCTATTACAAAACAAATATAACTGGAAGATACATAATCATTACTAGAAAATGAAAACGAGGTCATCATCATCATCACACACTGCATTCATCGTGTTAACCTATGGCATATTCATTCTTCTATCCATCCCACGACGCCGTTTCGACCTATCACTACAACTACTCGACCTATCCAACAATGACCTAAGCGAGTTCTGAAGAAAATGTATTGATTCAATGCTGCTATCTTCTTTATCACCAGCAACAATAAGAACGTTCCGAGTTCTTCCTCCCAGTGTGCAAATTTCAGCTTTCACTGTCTTCAGCCGCAGAGATTTCAGGATTTCTATTAGCTCCGGGATTAGGTCGGACCGATCCTCGCAGCATAACGACGCTTTGAATATAAGTCTTCCGTCTCCGGTGAAGTCTCCGCCCCCGGCGGAGATTACTGTTATTTCGTCGGTTTCGGAGGGAACTGTTTCCAGTTCTGTGATTTCAGATGTTTGCTGCTTTAACTCTTTCACTCGTTCCACAACTTTTGCAAGAAGCGAAGCTTTGTCTGTCTGAAATCATGAAGAAATATTACAGATATTGTTAATTTTATAAATTAATGATACATTAGAAGAAATAAAATAAAATATTGTTTTTTAATTGTTATAGAAGTAGTTTTTTTTTTTTAAATAGGTTAATGTAATTGAAAGTTTAAAAAAAATTATATTAAGAATTTATTAAAATAAAAAATAAATCTTTTAATTAAAAATTGAGATAACATAACATTAATTTTACCATAATAGTTTGGGTCATATTAATAGATTTTTGTTTGGAAAAAACAGATTTAAAATACTGATTAAAACTATTATTGGTTAGATTTATGTATTAGTATTTTTATTGAACTATAAATTAATTTGGATAGGTAAAATGGCTCAACATCATTTCTTTATATTTTTAAAAAATATATATTAATATAAATAAACTGTTAATATTTATAAATAAATTGCTTAAAAAAATATATAAATTAACTAATTAGTACTTTTTTCTTGAAAATCCTAGGACTAACTCCTATAAAAACCTAGGTTCTAGAAGTGTTCATCTTAAAAATATAAATGATCCCAAATCATTTATAGAAACATATAAAATTTGATTATTTTTATAAATGCATAATTTGGAGTTGATGTTCGGAGAGAAGAAAGTATTCTCCTAAAACCTAAGTATTATAGATAAAAAAGTTAATTGGATCATAATTTATATTTAGATCCAAATAATTTTTCATAAATAACTTGTGCTTTTATGAGTCTTCTAGAAAGTAAAGTAATTAAAAACCTAGTTTATTTAATCATTTTCATTTTCACTCTACTCTTAAAAAGTGCTACACGTTTCATGGAAACTTAATTATGTAGTCAACAAAAACAAACACAGTTACCTTTATTGGTCAAAAAGTGTACAAACTTTGAGAACTAAAGAAGCAAAAAGAGAATTCTAAAGAATAAGCTTTAACACAATTTTTCTCTAAGCCAAATATAATAGATTAAAAATATTAACCTTTGAATTGCAAGGGAGAAGAGTACGAAGATGATCAAGGTGAGAATTGATTCTCTCTCTTCTTCTCTTCTCAGCCTCCTTATGATTCTTCAAAGCAGCAAGAGCTCTATCTTGTTGGGAGGAGGGTGTATCAGTAATTTCAGAAACTTCAAAAGGGTGATAATAGTTGTTGTTATCAGAAGAGCTACATAAACTTGGTTGCATCATAGGAGTACTTGAATAGTCAAAGAATGAAGGGTTGTTAGCAACAATGAATTGAAAGAGTTCAGAGTTGTTTTCCATTGCAATATTTTGATGAAGCATATTGTGAAAAGAAGAAAGAGAGGGGGTGTAGATAGCTATAAGAATAGAAAGCTAGTAATAAGAAGAAAGTGAGTGGTAGAGTTTTTGAGTGTAAACATGTGGTGGTGATATGAACGTGAAGAAAGAAATGATGCTTATGATTGCACTTTTTGACTCAACTTAAGGGTTTTACTGTTCATGCTGCCCTTGTGGAATTTTTTCAACTTTTCAAACCATATTATTTCCCTTTCGGTGCCCTTTTTTGTTTGGTTAAAATATAATGATAGATTTTCATTTTCAATTTAACTAGTGTAAATGACATAGAATAATACAGGTCTAATATTTTCTCATTATTAATACCTATCAAGTTAAGGACCTTTGACTCAAACAAAATTCAAATAAATGAGATAAAGGATAGATGAGAGAATAAAAAATTAAGGAGCATGAGACATCATAGAGACAAAGTCATTATGTTATGTCTTTATTTGGTCAAGAAGAGTTGAAGTTCTACATTAATTATAAATGTGAAGATTTAAGTATGTATACATAAGAGAATTTATACATCTATTATCTTAAATTTTTGGATAGATATATGATGTCTCTCTCACTTGTATTGCTTGAGTCGAGAGACCGACTTATACTTGTATCGAAATGTCCTAAAAGAAATGGACTTATACTTAACCAATGTGAGTTAGAGTCTCACATTAGTTATAAATGTGGAAACTTAAGTATTTATATTTATAAGTAAGAAAACTCATACACCTATATGATATCTGTAACACCCCAAATTTAATCGGAATATTTTAATTAACTTATTTAATTGAGAATATTCGTTTTCGATGATTTTCGGTGGTTTTGTAAAGTATTGAGAAAATGTGCATTTTTGGACTATTTAATTAATTAATAGTATATAATAATAAATTATTAGTATTATTATTAATTAAAAGGAATATAAGTGGAATAAGGGTAATTTGGATATTTGGAGGAGTTAGTAAGGGTAATGAGGGAAAAGCCCAAATTGGGAGGCACAAGACTAAGTTGGACAAAATAGAATTCTGAAGAGATTTAGAATTCATTTGTTAACCGTGAAAAGTTTGGTGGCCAGAGTTCTGAAGCATAGGTTGGAGGAAGAAGTGTTAGAACACAGATTGGTTCTTAATAATATCTCTATATTTTGATGATAACTATTATGAAATTTTGTAGTTAAGAATTATGTACTCTAAAATTTGCTTAAGAATGTTTGCTGCAGATATTAAAGTAAATATCACTCCAGAAGCAAATCAGATCTGAACATAAGAAATATGCAAGGCTCTGAAGCGTCAGAAGCACCCATTAGAAGATTCTGAACGCTGCCATCAGAAGATCCTGAGCGTTGCCTCCAGAAGGATCTGAAGCAGAAGCTCTAGAAGAATCTGAAGCAAGCCAGAAGCATCTGAACCAATGAAGAATTTTGTATGAAGAGTTTTCAAGCATAGTTACTTCAGAAGACTCTGAGAGTACTAACGCTGCCAGTACTGAGGATCTGACCCAAAACTCTGCTCTGAACTTATACACGCTAAAAGCACACTTGCTGCAAAGACTCTGATTCAGCAAAACTTTGATCAACATCAGAAGGCTCTGATCAAATTAGACTCTGATGGTTCTTGCTGAAAATTGTTGAAGAAGAATTCAAAGATTATGTCGGTTGGAATATCCAAACGACTCTTTCCTTATTTATGCTAGACACAAGAACACAGACAAAAAGGATTTCTCTGTGCTTTCTTCTTCTAGGAAAGGTCACTTGATGTGAAGACAAAAAAGGCTCAGACCTTTTGGTACACTCTTATCAACGTGAAAAACTCTTGGATCACTGTGCCTATAAAAGCAAGTCTCCACTCATCTTCTTCAGTTGACGAAACACTTAAAAAGAATTCATTATCAAGGCTCTCACACAACTCATATATTCTTGCTAGAATTATTTCTTTGTTCTTAATCTTAAGTGAAAAATCATTGTTGTGATAAAGCTTTATTAGAAGCATCTTAACACTTGTATTTATTATTACATTTGATTGTAAGAAAACCTTAAGAAGATCCAGTTAGGATCAATAGTTCTTGAGAAGACTTTGAACATTTGTTCTTAGTGCTTACTATTGTAATCAGTTGATTAAATAGTGGATTAAGTCCTTGTTTGAGAAAGGCAAATCACTCTAGAAAGGGTGGACTGGAGTAGTTGAGTTCAACGAACCAGGATAAAAATACTTGAGTTTTTTACTTCTAAGTTTTTATCTTCATACTTATTCAACCCCCTTCTAAGTATTTTCTCACCTTCAAGAAGCATCAGAGCTCCGATTCTGTGTGTGCTACCACTTCACAGTGACAAAAAAGATCTAGTGAGAAAAACTTTGATATATATTTGGTTGTTACTATGGCTGATACTTCAATATCTAACATTAACAACAAATATGAAGAAAGGGACAGAATCAGCACTAAACCCCCTATGTTTGATGGGGAGAAATTTGATTATTGGAAAGACAGGATTGAAAGTTTTTTCCTTGGTTATGATGCTGATTTATGGGATTTGGTCATAGATGGATATGTTCATCCCATTGATGGAAATGGCAAGAAAGTAGATAGAAAATCTATGACAGAAACCCAAAAGAAGGAATTTAGAAATCACCACAAGGCTAGAACAATATTGTTAAATGCAATATCTCATACTGAGTATGAAAAGATCACAAATAGAGAAACTGCATCTGACATGTTTGAGTCCTTGAAGATGACTCATGAGGGAAACTCTAAAGTCAAGGAAACAAAGGCTCTGGCTCTAATTCAGAAGTATGAAGCCTTCAAGATGGAAGAAGCTGAATCTGTTGAAGCTATGTTCTCCAGATTTCAAATACTTACAGCTGGACTAAAGGTTCTGGATAAAGGATACTCTACTGCTGATCATGTGAAAAAGATCATCAGAAGCTTACCTACCAGATGGAGACCTATGGTGACTGCGCTGAAAATGGCTAAAGATCTGAACAAGATCTCCTTGGAGGAACTAATCAGTTCACTGAGGAGTCATGAAATTGAACTTGAGGAAGATGAACCTCAAAATAAAGGTAGATCATTTGCCTTAAAATCTAATAAATCTGCTAAAGCATTGCAGGTAATAGAGGAAAGCTCTGAAGAATCCTCATCTGAAGATGAAGATGAACTATCCATGCTGTCCAGAAGAATAAACAAACTCTGGAAGCATAAAGGAAAGAAGTTCAGAAACTTCAGGAAGCCTGACCAAAGAAAAGAATCTTCTGGACACAGAAGATCTGGAAAAAAGGAGGTTGTCTGCTACGAATGTAAAGAACATGGGCATTACAAAAATGAATGTCCAAAGTTGTTGAAAGAAAAACCTAAAAGAAAAACTGATAAGAAGAAGAAGGTTCTAATGGCTACCTGGGATGATTCAGATACATCTGAATCTGAATCTGAGTCAGAAGAGGAATGTGCCAACGTAGCATTGATGACTGACATAGAAGATCAGGAGGAAGGAATTTCAGGATCTAAATCTGACTCTGAATCTGACTCTGACGCTGAAGAGGTAATGGCTAAACTCAGTAAAGATGAAATTATCAAAGTGTTATCAGAAGTTCTGAAGAGCTATAACAATATTAAGCTCAAATACAAGAAGCGTCAAAGCAATCTTGTATCTGAGAATAATATTCTCAAATCAGAAGTGGCTGAGCTAAATGAAAAGAACTTAAAATTGAAAAATGATTATGAATTAGCTCAACAAGACTCTGATTCTGAAACTGAGTCCGAATGCAAAAATATTTTGGAAAAATATGACTACAGCTTTCAGAAGTTTCTTGCTAAAAGCATAGACAGAAGCAAAATGGCTTTTATGATCTATGGAGTTAGCAGAAATAACAGAAAAGGAATTGGATATAAATCTTCCTCTGGAAAGGATTTAAATCCAAAACCTGTTGATAAAATTATCATCAAGAAGACTCCTTTATATTCCCACTTTAAATTTGGCTACTTGAACGATATTGAACACACTCATTCTGAAAAGAACATTCATGTGTTTAAATCTAAGGCTAGTCAGAATAAACCTTATGTTGAAAAACAGAAGTTTAGACAAACCTTCAGAACAACTAACCCAAAAGGACCCAAGAAGATCTGGGTACCTAAAAGTAAAATAATTCCTGTTGCAGATGTTTTTAGCAGCAAGGTCAGGACGCCAATCATGGTACTTGGACTCTGGATGCTCGCGACACATGACAGGAGAAAGGTCTATGTTCCAGAGTCTGGAGCTTAGATCTGGAGGTGATGTGAAATTTGGAGGGAATCAGAAGGGCAAGATCATTGGATCTGGCATTATTGGAAATGGTAACCTTCCCTCTATTACTAATGTTTTACTTGTAGAAGGATTAAAGCATAATCTATTGTCCATAAGTTAATTAAGTGACAATGGTTATGACATAGTCTTTAATCAAAAATGTTGTAAAGCTATTAGTCAAAAGGATGACTCAATCCTATTTAGTGGAAAGAGGAAGAACAACATTTATAAAATAAATCTTTCAGAACTTAAGGTTCAGAATGTTAAATGTCTCTTGTCTGTTAATGAGGAGCAATGGGTCTGGCACAGAAGATTGGGGCATATTAATATGAGACGTATATCTCAGATTAATAAACTTAATCTTGTCAGAGGACTTCCTAATTTAAAGTTCACCTCAGATGCTCTTTGTGTAGCATGTCAAAAAGGGAAGTTTTCAAAATCCTATTTTAAATAAAAAAATGTTGTTTCTACTTCCAGACCATTAGAATTACTTCATATTGATCTGTTTGGACCAGTGAAAACTGCATCCATCAGAGGCAAGAAGTATGGATTAGTCATTGTTGATGACTATAGTAGATGGACATGGGTAAAGTTCTTAAAACACAAGGATGAGTCACATTCTGTATTGTTTGACTTCTGCAAACAAGTCCAGAATGAAAAAGATTTCAAAATTATAAAAGTCAGAAGTGATCATGGTGGTGAATTTGAAAACAAATAT